TTGGATGTAGATACCCTCAAATTAAAGCTGCCAGTCTGCAGTTAAAGCACATCTTGTTCGTTTCATTTCAAATCCATTGTGGTGGTGTATAGAGCCAAAAATGTTAGAATTGTGTCGATGTCCCAATATTTATGGACCTGACTGTATATATATTGTTTTTTGGTTTTTTTAAGCAGAGACCCTAGGAAATAGAATGATAGGTTTTGCATATTTTTATGTCAAATGATATTTGCGCAGCGTTTTTTCAAAGCAAATTTTTTGAAAAAATACACTTTAATAAATTTTAATGCACAAAAACACAATTTAATACCCAATTGTTTGGTAAAATATATACCAAACATGTCACACTTTAAAATTGTTTCTGCCCGTGCAACAGTGCCAAGCTATGGTACATACAATTTCCTATAGGCAACTGTTTAAAAGCCTTTACAGGTTACCAGTTTAGAGCTACAGAGGAGGTCTGATGCTAAAATTATTTCCTTCTCTCTGACGTTTGTGGCAATACCTCACATTTGTGGTGCAATCGCTGTTTACATATGCACATGGGACCTACACGTATGTTACATTTGCACATAAGAGCGGGGAAACTGGGGCATTTTATATTTTTATTTATTTACATTTTTTACACTGTATCTTTAATTTTTTTGGTATCTCTTTTATTGCTATCAGAAGGGATGAACAACGTTCCTTGCTATAACATAGAACATGACAGCTCCTCTTTATGGAGGGATCTAGAGTATATTAGACAGCATATCTCTCCTCTGCCCTCCAAAGCATCTGATCAAACCAAAATTGGTTTGATCCCATGCTTGTTGAAGTCAATAATGGCCTGTTTACATGAGGCCAAAACCAGAGAACACAAAATCCTTCTCGCTTCCAGTTGCTGGTGTCACACAGTGGGAGGAACAACATCAGTTCTTATCACTGATGTTGTTTGCATGGGAGAGCCCAGTAAAAGCTGGGGGTGGAGGCTTCTTAGCCGCTAGGATTATTTTTGCATTGAAGGGAATCGCTGTCACTAAAAAATATCGCGATCATTGCTGCAGCTGCTGAGATATTTACCCTTCCTATCCAGTGATGTACTAGTATGTTGCTGGATGGGAAGTCGCATTCAATTCCTTTAGGTAGTGCAAGACATTTGGTGTACTGAACTCAATGGATGGCCTGATAGCCAGTCAATGGATGGCATGACAACCAGACAGCATCTTCATAAAGAGAAGCCAGCAATGTAAGTCTCTTGATTTCCTCAGTGCTAAACTCAGTCTAGGCTGATATGAAAGACACAAATAAATGCAGCTAGGTATTCAATACTACATCAGTAAATGTATTTAATGTAGCTTGCAAAAAGTACATGAATCTGACATATTGCAACCTCCTATATAGCTGAAATTAGAGTGGAAGAGCGAGGGGCAGGACTGAATGCCAATACGCTGTTCTGCATGCAAATATGTTGACAAGGAACATGCTGATAGAAGAACAAAGTGAGCAGAGAGATGATCTCACCAATCTGCTGATGCTCTTTTACTAGGCGATTAGCAGGCTTGGGGTGGAGAGGACAACACAGTACTCCTTGGCTAGAAGCACTGTCATCCACTTGTATCCTGTCTGACAGGGCTGTATAAACCTCATGACTGGATGGACAAAAATGCAAATACCTTAGAAGGTAAAACAACCCATATCTTAGTGTTGCCGTTTTGTGTTTCGCTGTTTGCTAAAGTTAATCCTTAAAAATCACAGCGTTTCCATTCACAAGGTATTAGTCCTTTATGCATAGCTATAATGGATAAATAATTTCATTTCTGGGCTGAAGGTTTAGTAGAATTATTAATTACAAAAAAGCTTCAACAATAAAGCTATTATCATTGTCATTTTTAAATTTCTGTCCATGATCAATGAGGCTTTAAATTCATCCTGAATTTCTCTCCCCAAAAAAAGATAATTATGGGCTATTTTAACAGTGAAAATAACTGTTACAACATCTGTAGGTCCATGACATAAAAATAAAAGAAACAAAGGTGATGTGTGGTAAAAGGGTGCTAATAATAATAATAATAGTAATAATAATAGGGATGGTGTTGGTAGAGAGTGCATGGCAGGCGGTCTAAATGCAGTGACCTTTCTGTGTCAGCAGATCAGCAGCCTGGGAAGGCCTGAGTGCTGAATTCTGCATTATTAATGCCTCTGTGCCCTAGTTTCCAGCTTCTGGCCAACATACATACCAGTTCGTGATAACTTATTTTGATGCTTGGCATACATGTAATGATCGTAATTTATGTATGGATTATAATCAAATCTTTCCTTATACCTTGCTTGTCTACAAAGTCATGTTTGCATTGTACAGCTTTTCTCATATATTTCAAGGATTAAAATAGATGATCAGAACAGGAAATGACAACTGCGTCCTTTACAATAATCTATTCATGGGGATTTAAAACTTATACAATGTTGATTTTAGCAATAATTACAAACAGCAAAATCTACCACTACGCAGTGCATATGTCTTAAAGGAAATCTATGGCCACAGAATACACTTTCATTTTTTTAACATCAACATTGTAATTGCAATGCAAACAATATTTATTATTGACAATCCATTATAAGCTTGCACGGAAAATCTCCTTTCATGTTCTGCCTGTCTGCTGGTCATCTCTTTCCACTTCCTGGAGTCCCTGCATGCTTTGCAGCATCTCCTCCGCTGTTAACCTTCATTTTCTAAGGACAACATGTCCCGTGATACCTTTCTGCCTACAAGCAGCGATCCCTGTACTGATTTTGTTTCCCAGAACTCCTCCTCTCAGCACATCTGCAAGCTCTGTGAATTCTGTGACCACAGGGCATAGTGACTACATGTCACACAATTCTAGGTAGTAAATGTGTGGAGATCTTCACAAAGTAAGTTTACAAACTTCAAGATCATTCAGATTAATAGGAGCAGGCAGAAATAATTGAAACACAAATTAATATATGATATTACATTGTGACCGTAAGTACGCTGTAAGTAGATGAATCTTCAAAATGAAATTCTCACCAGGTATACATTTACCGTTGCCTTTGACATGGAATCATGCATATTCTACTTCACAATATAAGATGTAAAAATTATTCAAGGACAAGTGTAACTTTATAAACAAATGACCCAGCAGATTACCCCACCAAACCTAATCTAACCCAGACACCCCACCACCAATTAGTCTTCAAACCTCTGACTGACAACAACAGTCTACTATGGAGCTCACAGTTCTGGCCATGTAGGCAGGTGCAGTCTCTTTTCTCCACTGCAGGTGGTGCTCAAACCACAGCAGCACTGCAGAGGAAAAGGAAGTCAGAAGGAACTTATTCCTTTTTGGTTGTCTGGGTCACTGGGAGGCAATCTAATTGGATGTCATCGGTGCTGGGACAAGGTTATCCAGTACCCAGGGCATACATGCCAAGCTGTGCACCCCCCTCCCTATGGCCAGTTTCACACACACCTGCTCATTATAATTACGATTAGAGTGCAGAGGTCAGGATTGGATAAATTAGAAAGCTCTGGGGTCAGGAGCAAAAATAAAGTATAGCATGCAACAGGAGAGGAAACCATACAGAGTGCAGGAGTAAGGTGTATGAAATCTTCCAAAATATTATCCGGCAACTCGATTGCTTCAAAATCCAGTTTCTTTATTGATTATAAAATATTAGTACAAGATCTGTAAATCTAACGCATTTCAGCAAGAGCCTTATAGCTATGAATAAGTCTCCCGCCGAAACACGTTAGCTTTTACGAATCTTACTAATATTTTGTAACCAATAAAGAAACCACCACAACCACAATCAAGTTGCTGGCTAATATTTTGGAAGATATTATGGTACAAGTGGACGTTTTAGCCTGAGCATCGGCCTTCAGCTGTGATTGATTATTGAGTAGTTGAGCTTGAGTGAGTTTGTTGAACGTAAGGTGTATGAAATATATAACCTAAAATATATATATATATATATATACACAGTATATATACTGTATACCCACACATGCATCACTCACATATATACATAAAAAAACATTTATTTACCAGCCTGATCCAAGTGTCTTCTTTGACATTCTTTTTCATGATAAAGGTTTAAGAGGAGGAGAGGGGGGCAACTAAAGCATGTTACATGTTACACCCTGAATACAGGCGTAACATGTTCCAAAAGGTGAACTTAGCCTTTGAGCTGGTACACCGTTTTTTTTATAAGCCCACTGGCTGATAGATTCCTCCAGCCACACAAGTGAGATGGATGCAGGAATCACTGGGACATTGCATTATGACAGTAGGGACTCTTCCCTGTTAGAATACACCGATCAGTACTGCAGACAATTGGCTGTGAGCCTCTAATTGAATAAAGTTTTCCAGCATTCCTATTCAGCTGAAGCTGATATAATGATCACTTCACCCTAACAGAGAGGGCTACACACAGATTGAAATTTAGCCAGTCCTGGCTGAAGCAGATGAATTTTGATCTATGTGTACCCAGATTTACCAGAATACTTGCTTCAGAAGGCTTCCCACAGTGCTGTGACTGGCCCCTGCAGCTTCTGTGTATGTTGTGACTAGCTGTGGTCACACTTCAGCTTTCTCATCATACCATACATGGTTAATGTCCCTGTATAATATATGATGATGTCAAGGCTAAAGGAGGAGGAGAAGAGCTCTGGATCTGGCTGGAGCATAGAGTCAGGTAAGTGAAAGAAGCTTCCCAACCCTTTCCCTGCACTGCAAAAGTGGACTTCTTTCCTTTCTTGGAGTTAAGCTGAGTTATGCCATCACACCCTTTGCTGTTTATGCTCATATTTTTAATAGGTTAGTTATCATTGACTTTTCAGGTTCTACATAGATTTAATCTACATACACATGATATCTTATTAAAAAGAACAATTTTGAATAAGATATAGTGTGCATGTGGATTAACCGCTTTCCCACCACCCTATATCAAAAATACTGCTACAAGGTGGCAGAGGTGCGCAAAATCATGTATATATGTGCGATTTTGCATTTCAAGGCAGGGAGCATCCGCCCTACCTGCACTGCCATTGGTGGCCTCTTGTGTCAATCACCGGGTCCCAGCCGGTGATTATCCGCTAGCACCCGGCGATTGCCATGTATCACGGATGGGGAGAGACCTGTATGTAAACAGTACAGATCTCTCCCCTGTCAGCTCCTGCACACTGCTTTGTATGGCTCAGCATAGCAGAGCCATACAAAGCAGTGTGCTTACAGTGTAAAGCACACACACAACACACAGTGAAACAGCACACAGTTAACCCTTTGATCACTCCAGATGTTAACCCCTTCCTGCCCAGTTTCATTAGTACAGTGTCAGTGCTTTTTATTAGCACTGATCACTGTATTGGTGTTACTGGGGATGTCAGTGACACTTGTCAGTTCCCCTCTCAGTATCACAATGCCCACCACAGTCCCACTATAAGTCACTGATCGCCACCATTATTAGTATACAAAAAAAGGATTTCAGTATATATATCGCCATTTGTAAATGCTATAACTTTCACGGATACCAATTAATTTACTTAAGTATTGGAATTGTTTTGGCAAAGACATGTAGCAGAATACATTTTGGCCTAAAATTTCAATGAAATTTGATTTAAAAATGTTCTTACTGGACATGTTTAATAGCAAAAAGTAGAAAATATTGTTTTCTTCTCAAAATTGGTGGTCTTTTTTTTTTATAGCGCAAAAAAAATAAAAACCGCAGAGGTGATCAAATACCACCAAAAAAAGCTCTATTTGTTGGGAATAAAGGACTTAAATTTTATTTGCGTGTAGCACTGCATGACAGCGCAATTGTCAGTAAAAGTAATGCAGCGCCGTATCACAAAAAAATAACCTGGTCAGGAAGAGGGGTAAATCCTCAGAAGGCAAGTGGTTAAATCTATGTAGAACCTGAAAAGTCCCAATGATAATTAACCTATTAAAACATTTTACTTTCACTGTCAGTAAGCCTTCCCTGCAAGCTGCAGGGCATGGCAGGTTTACAGCACAGTATGGAATGCAGAACAGTCAGGACTCACAGGTAGAGAGAATGCATTCTGCCATCTGTGTTCTGCCATTTTCACTCTTCTGGCACTGGGTAGAGCTCTGACGTGTGCTGAGTAGGAACTAATGATCAGTGCTGTAGTGTAAGGTTCTCTTCCTGTACCGCCCAATCATGAGTCGCTGGGACTGCAAGAACCCTGATCCAAGAGGGCAGACTGACAGGAACTCAAGGAGAGAGCCCGGGAGAGAGTGAGTTGTTTTTTTTTTTTCTGGAAAGGGGCATGGGTGCTGCCACAGATAGGTGGCAGGCAACAAGTGAAGGTGCTTCCACTCAGTTTTGGGCATGCAGCACAGTGTATATGTTGTCACATCTAGATTATTTTATGGACAGACTTTTCTGCTTCCAACCTGGTGCCCCCTCCCACACTGTGCCCAGGGCAATTGTCCTTCTCGCCCACCCCTTGTCCCAGCCCTGGATGTCACTGTCCCATGTGACTCTGGGGGCTATCTTTAGTGAGGACAGAGCTTAAAAAAAGCACTGGCTCACTGCAGTTGCTGACATTTTGCAAGTGGATAGTGCAGGGTCAAAACGCACCCATCTGTAAGGGAAAGTGAATAGCAGTAGGGAAAGTCTGGACAAGTAGGGACAGGCCATCCTGCATCAGAATTCTACACCTTGGGCTCAGAATGGCCAGGCTGCATTCAGCCCTTGGAGACAGATGCTGTTGGTGCATCAGGACCTGCTCCATTCTACAAGTTGCACAGAACTGTGAGTTTTTCCCAGCTGCTTGGTGCCTTCATGCTGGCTTGCTGTATATTTGGGCTGTTTCTACAATACAAGTATTGTTATTTGCAACTAGACGCACCACGCTGTGCCTACCCACAGCCACACCTGCACAGTCCACATAAACTTGGACGAGGTCTACAACTACACTACAGATACTAGAGTAATAAGCATGTCCTTTAAAGTAACCACTAGCAGGTGTGCAGATTTATTGCTAGTGTATGAAATTTATAGTGAAACTATGAGCAAAATAAAACATGACATACATGATGTAGTCAATCACAATCATGAACACAGCAGTTTTGTTTTTCTAACTTCCCCTACCACCATGATATATTTTTATTACCATCTAATCCTGACAGTATATCCATTATTTTTTCACTTCTTTTAACAGGGCGACAACACCTGCAGGGAAAGCACACATCTTCAGCGTTGTCAACCTATGTAGTATTAGGTTGGATTAAGTGAAAAAAAAATGACCTGATTTTCCCATCCACACACTCGATGTGGATGAGGGAATCCCTACCTCTGTGGTATTGTGTTCTGGCTGCAGGGAGTCTTCCCCACCATCAGAGCACACTGATCAGCATTGCTGGTTATAGCCTGCAGCACTGATTACTCAGGAGAAACTCAACAAGCTGGTTGTACAGAAGTCGAACGGTAGATCGACGTCTGTACAAGCAACCTGCCCATGCATGGTGTGAAATATGGCTGTCCCTGCTGAACTGGCCAAATTTCAATCCATGTATGGTCACTTTTAGATGGACATGTAGTTTCAAATAGACTTTCAGTGAACAACAAACATATTAAAGCCCAATTACAGCTAACTTATTTAAAATTGCAATTAATTTTAATATTTATGTTATAGAAAATATTCATTTTCTTTTGGAAATGAGGTTTGAACTGGGACTGCATGGTTTAAGTAAAGTTATGTAAATACAGTATGTGAAATAAAAGGGAATTTTAAAGTGAATGCTATCATTATAGGTAATAACCATAAACACTTATTTATCGTTATAGTGGCAATTTAACAATATGATCAGTAAGGTTTTCCCTCTTCTGACCTTTAGTAAAAAGACGAAGAAGCCACTTTCAGCTACCTCACCAATATGTAAATGTAAATTCTGCCACACATGGATCAAAATTCAACACTGATCATGTTCTGACAGCAGGGGGGGCTCCCCATCCGCAGAACCCAATAGTGCTGTGGGAGGGACTGACTGTTGGGGGAAAATTGCATAATCTATGGCATGTGTAATATATATACTGATGGGGAAGGCATCTGTGAAGGATAACTTGAAAATACATAGCCTGGAATGTCTTTTAATTATTAGCAGGATTAAAGAAATAGGTAATGTATATATATAATATGCATTTAAAGTAAACTACGCTTTATCTATGCAGGCAAAAGTAACAGGCTCACATTATATCTGGCCCCCGCATCAGCTTATATTTGCCTTTAATTTGCTGTTTCTGAGAGAGGATTGGAAGCCTCAGAGTAGATCCTAGTACATAGGGATTATGATTGCCCACATGTCATGGCACTGGTGCCTGAGCTGCCAATTTTCAAGCACCAGCAATGGCAAATGGAAGGAAGTGAAGCGAGTCACCTACTGGAGATTACCACTTATTTCTGTTCAGTCCTGGTAGAAAATGGAGATGTACTTGAGTTAATGAAAGATGATAAGCAGAGGGGAGGGGAGAGAACTTCATGGCTTTCATAAGGACAATGAGGATGAGCATAACCAAAATAGGTAGTTGTTCTGTATTGTATAGACTCTATTATCATATACAGGTAACATCACATAAGACCCAATTACCTTCCTTGTGAACTTAATTAATAAGGTATCAATTGTTATTAAATTGCTCAAGAATGTATTTAGAATATAACTTCAAACTTCAAATAATACATTCTCTCAGTATTTTCTAGAATGCACAGTGTTGAAATATCTATATCTAGAAGGGCTTAAAATTAATCTATTTCACATATATAGACAACATAGGGTTCTTCGTCCAATATTTAGGTGAAATACTAAAGTGCCCAGTTTCCCTCATATCCTTAAATGGCTTTTAATACAAGTAAAATACTTTTAACAGTAATGAGATTAATCTATGATTTTTGTATGTTAAGGTTCCACAGGGTGCTCCCTATTTTTTGGTTGTTTTATAGATGCTGTAAAGCATGTGGTATATCTAATGTGGCTAGCATCCATACTTTATTATGAACTTTGTAAATCATGAAGCACAGGTTTATATTAATACTAGGCCTCATGCACATAGACAGATATAAACACTACTTTTAGAAGCATTTTTCTTTTTTCCTTGTTAAATGCCTCTGAATGCAACTCTATATTAGCCAATGGGGGAGATTTTCTAAAACTGGAGTGTGCAAAATCTGATGCAGCTGTGCATAGAAATCAATCAGCTTCCAGGTTTTAACTTAACTGAACAAGCAGAAGTTAGAAGCTGATTGGCTAACATGCACAGCTGCACCAAATTCTGAGTGCTCCAGTTTTAGTAAATCTCTTCCCATGTGTCCATGCACATTGTGGCATTTAGATTAATATTTTAGAGCAGCATTTAGGAGCATAAAAAGAAAAATGTGCCAAACCTGCATTTAGAGAGAAGCATACTGGCATAATTTATGAATAAATGTTCATAAACATACACATATGCATGTAATTTCATTTCTAGTGGGCTAGAACAAATGAATAGTTGAGGCACTAGAATGAAATTATGCGCATACGCCTATAAACACAATACGTGCATAATCATGAATAGACAAAATACGTGCCAGACTGAGTGTTTATTAGTTTATTAGGCTGGAATTTTCTTCCAGCTCCTAGCAGAAAGATCCATCATAAATGGGATTATTTAATACATTTATGTGCATGTAGCCTAATATGTAGAAATATATGTAGGCAACAAGCAGAAAACAAAAGTAAAAACATGGCTAATATAGTAAATCAAGTCAACTATATAATCAGCTTTTCATTTTTTCCAGGTACTCCTTAAAGTGCACCGGTACTATGAAAAAAAAAAAAATTAAGATAAGAATAAGACAACAGACCACACCTTTGTTCTTAGAAAAACTACAGGAAAGTTCTTTCTGAAAGTCAATATTTGTATATGTTCTGGAGCAATCCCCACATGACTCAGTCGTGGTAGTGTGTATCATGAGTAAACAAGAAGTCAGAGGGAAAAAGGGCTAGTCTCCTCAAACCTCAGAAGTTGGGGTATTTCAAAGCAGATACAAGGGTTTTGGCTCTGGCCTCTGCATACCATGTTGAGATGTCTAATAAAATCCACTTATAACAGAAATGGGGAAAAATGTACTTTGACTGTGAATGAAATATAGATGTTAGCTTTGAACTATTTATACCACTTATTTTCAATAATCACTCTGGGAGCCAGAAGGCATCAATATAGTAATTATATTTAATTTTAGCAATATGCCCCTATACTGTATTTTATGACAGATTCCATTTGGAAATGTTACTTTTCTTTTTTCTGGCTTTTCATTTTTTGTGTATGTCTGCTTCTGGAAACATGCACCCAGAAATCTTTATATGGATTACAAGACTTGATTCTAAAATCAATGGGAATTAAAGATGTGAAAATGATTCTTCTCTGCTGAGGCTCCAGCAAGT